GGCTGGCGGGGGGGTTGGAACTGGAGGAGCTTTAAGGTCCCTTCCAACCCAAACCAGTCTGGGATTCTATGACCCCAGTAATCACCATGACAAGGCACTTAGAAGCAGGAGGGGACAGCTGGGTGCTGGGCTGAGGAGCAGAGGTGGACACAAGACCTTGTGAAAGTGTTTGTGCTGCAAAATCCAGGCTGGCTGCTCCAGCAGCAGCAACCCCCAATGCCAGAGCAAGGCAGGGTCCCCAGTTTGCAGCTCCTCATTGAAACAGGGAATCATAGAATCACAGACTGGTTTGGGTTGGGAGGGACCTTAAAGCTCATCCAGTCCCAACCCCCCTGCCAGCAGCAGGGACACCTTCCACTAGACCAGGTTGCTCAAAGCCTCATCCAGCCTGGCCTTCCAGGGAGGGGGCATCTACAACTTCCTTGGGCAACCTGTTCCAGTGTCTGACCACCCTCACAGTGAAGAACTTCTTCCTAATATCTCATCTAAACCTCCCCTCTTTCAGCTTAAACCCATCACCCCTTGTTCTCTCACTCCCTGCCCTTGGCCAAAGTCCCTCCCCAGCCTTCCTGGAGCTCCTTCAGGTACTGGGAGGCCACTAGAAGGTCTCCCTGGAGCCTTCTCTTCTCCAGGCTCAACAGCCCCAACTCTCTCAGCCTGTCCTCACAGCAGAGCTGCTCCAGCCCTGGCATCATCCTGGTGGCCTCCTCTGGACTTGTTCCAACTGGTCCATATGATTAAGAACAAGAAATAAGGGAATAAGAAGGAGAATTTCTCCCCTCCCAGGTAACACCTTAGTAACAGCGTAGGCGTTGCCAGAGTCTCTGCCTGCCTTCCTCGGGCCCAGGAAATCACATTAGGTTGATCAAATTTAAACTTTCAGTTGTTGGGAAACGAGCCAAAAATAAAAAAAGCTACCCAGTGTGCCTTTTTCTTTAACTGGGTGCTCTCCAGTTACACAAAAAAGGGGAAGGGTAAAGCTTCTAACAAACCAAGGTTGAAAAAATTGTTCCAGTTCCTTTTTGCAACGTGCAAACAAGCTGCGTTTGCACTGTGACTTCCTGAGCAGAGGCCACTCCTCGTGACAGACAAGACGTGATGAAACGCCCAACAACTCGTAGGGGTTGTACAAACTCAACCCCACCCTGTGCTTCCGGCCTGGCAAACATTGGGTTAAATATGTCACAGAATAGCCCATTTCCTCAAACTCTACTCACTTGTTTTTGTTGGTTTTGTTCTGAAAAGGACGTTGCAGACATGATAAAAAAATGACAGCAGGATGTTCTCTGCTAGCAGGAGACCATCAGAACTACAAGCTACTACGTAGTCACAGCTGTCACATGAAAGTTGGGACACAGGAGAACAAGAAACAATCCTAATTTGTATTATTATTATTAAAATAGAATTCTTGACAGTTGGTTTTGTTTGTTACAACTATCTCCAAACAGTAGCTGCAGGCAAACGGATACCTGGCAGCCTACGCAAACCAGCAACAGAAGACAGGAAACACAACACATCTCACCACAAAATATCATCTACCCACAGTTCCCACAAGATTCAACCCAGTCCCAAACGTGCAGGGAACAGTCGTTGGCTGCTGACAATAAAGTTCTTGGTTTCTGAGGATGCCAAGTGTGCACCGTGACCAGGGGAGGGTCTCCGTTGTCACCCATGCCACCAAACGCGTGACCTTTGTGAATAAAGATGGGTTCTGCTTCCCTGCCAGAGCTGTCCCAGCTCTGAGTGTCGTACACGTGCACGGTCCCATCAAAACCTGGAATAAAAGGTGGAATTAAGAGAGGAATCACAGAATTAAATTGCTTTGTTCTAGTCCTGCTGGGTTTATGTTGATGATGTGAGGGCTGGAGCAGCTCTGCTGTGAGGACAGGCTGAGAGAGTTGGGGCTGTTCAGCCTGGAGAAGAGAAGGCTCCGGGGAGACCTTCTAGTGACCTCCCAGTACCTGAAGGGGCTCCAGGAAGGGTGGGGAAGGACTTTTCATAAGGGCAGTTAATGACAAAACAAGGGGAAATGGGTTTAAGCTGAAAGAGGGGAGGTTTAGATGAGATATTAGGAAGAAGTTCTTCACTGTGAGGGTGGTGAGCCAGTGTCCCAGGTTGGCCAGAGAAGCTGTGGCTGCTCCTCCCTGGAAGTGTTTGTGGCCAGGTTGGATGAGGCTTTGAGCAACCTGGTCTAGTGGAAGGTGTCCCTGCTGCTGGCAGGGGGGTTGGAACTGGATGAGCTTTAAGGTCCCTTCCAATCCAAACCATTCTGTGATTCTATGTTCACCTCCCAGCAGGGTTGCTGAGATAGAAATGAGGAGAAAGTTTTAACCTGTGACAGCAAAAGCTTTCAAGGAGATTGTCTCAAGCAAACAGCTGCTGGGGGAGAATATGAGCCAGATCCAAAAAAGCTCAAAGATTCACTAGTCTGAATTTGCAACACTCTGGCCAAGAGGCAGCTGGTCTTATCAGCACAGTGTCCTCATGGCCAGGCTCTCCCTGGCACTATCAGGGTAGTGTTTGCTAAGGGCTTGAGGTCATTGTTCTCCCAGGAGTCACCCAGAACTCATCCAGGTCTAGAGATTCCTGGAGAGAGGAATCTGGAGAGGATGATCAGCTCGTCACACTGCTCTGAACCACAGCTCCCTAATCAGGGTGTTTAAAGGAAATAAAAATCAAGTTTTTAGTTTCATAAAGTGGGGTGAACTGGGTCTTGGTAGAAACACAGAGTCACAGAATGTCAGGGATTGGAAGGGACCTCGAAAGATCATCCAGTCCAACCCCCCTGCCAGAGCAGGAACCTCAATGAGATCACACAGGAAGGTGTCCAAGTGGGTTTTGAATGTCTCCAGAGAAGGAGACTCCACACCCTCCCCCTCAAAAAAAAGGAAAAAAAAAAGGGAAACAGCTCAAAAAAAAAAAAGCATCCAAAAAAAGGAGAGTTCTGTCCAAAACACATACCTGAAACAGCAAGGCAGCCTTCCAGAGCAGGAGCCCAGGAGACACACAGGAACTCCACACCTGGGCTGGGAGAGGGAACTCTGCACTTCACTGAGGCCAAGGGCTCCCAGGATTTTCTTACATCCGTTAAGGTGAGGTGCCCCCTGCTCGAGAGACGAGCTACAGGCTGGGAGCTGGAGGCAGACCCTTGAGGTCCACACCTGACTCCCATGCACCAGCGCTCGCTACCCGCTGCTGAGGGGACAGACGTGGCCTCCAAGGGACCCTGAGGCTGGCGAAGGTCAGCCAGGCACAGCTGGCCCTTGGCACAGCAGAGGAGGAACGTGTTGCAATCCAGGAACACCAGGTCACTGAGCTCCTCGGTGTTCCTGGAGGCTGGAAATAAAGAAAAAGAGGGAGATTTTAGATGCTGTGAGGAGCATTTGTGTGATTTCTCTGCTGCCATCTTGTCTGAGAAAGTGGATTGTCACTGGAAGTGGCTTTCAAGCAATGATAGTTAGTTCTTCAAGAACAGCCTGCTTGGGAATTACAGAATCCCAGACTGGTGGGGTTGGA